GAGCGCGCAATTTCCCCGAGTCGATCGCACGCGCGCGGCCAAACGAGGCGGGAAAAGAATCGAGATATCGAGCGGGGCGGACGCGATCGAACCCCGGAGGGTTCTTTCAGCCGCGCGCATGTCGTCTCTCTGCCTAAACGGGGTGTCCTTGTCGTCATGGTAACCTTTGCGCCGAGGGAGAGGGTGCTATCGGCGCGGTTCCAAGCGGGAGAGAGAGCCGCGGCATCGTCGAGAACCGAGGGAGAGCCGCCGCGGCCGCGGCACACGGGGGCTGCTAACCTTGTCGGCGCAATACCGATCCGGATCCAGATCCCACCACCGTCATCGAGCGTCCTCGTCATTTGTCATCGCCTGCCACCGACCGAAATTCGGCGTCGAGCAGGCACACGCGCGCCCCTTCGAGCTTTGCCGCGCCTTTTCTTACTTCCAACCCCTCCGGCCGACGCGCGTTTTTTTTCTCCAACGGCCTCGCTTTTATCTCGCCGAGGATCGTTCGCTTCGCGACTGCCGCCCCTGGATAGTCCGTCGGATCGGTTTCAATTTATTAGGGACGCTAACTTTCGCCGCGGAGATTATGTACTTTGAAAATCGATTTACAGCTTGTCCTTCGAATAGACGCGTTTCTGAGCGCCCCGACCGCCGATATTTCTCGATTTCTCGAAGTGATTTCGTTGTCGCTTCCAAATGGAAGCTAATCTATCTTAAAGCGGACAGTTTCTGCTTTAATTTGAGCTATGTTACGTTGAAAAACTCCTACAGGAATACAATTTAAAATTGACTCGAAGCTGATGTTTAAAACGAAGTAATTTTTCGGGTGATTGGTCGTGATTTTTCGATTTTTTTCGAACGATTCTGGTAATATTTTTCAATCTAATTTACCCGGTTTTAAAGTAGACGCTTTCAGCTTTAATTTCAGCTATGTAACGTTAAAAAACTCCTACGGGAATACAATTTAAAATTGACTCGAAACTGCTGCTTACAATCGAGTCATTTTTCTTCGGGTGATTGGTCCGGATTTTCCGATTTTTTCCAAACGATTCTGGGAATATTTTTCAATCTAAATTACCCGGTTTTGAAGTAGACACTTCCAGCTTTAAATTCAGCTATGTAACGTTGAAAAACTCCTACGGGAATACAATTTAAAATTGACTCGAAACTGCTGCTTACAATCGAGTCATTTTCCTTCGGGTGATTGGTCGTGATTTTTCGATTTTTTTCGAACGATTCTGGAAATATTTTTCAATATAATTTATTCGGTTTTAGAGTAGACACTTCCAGCTTTAATTTCAGCTGTGTAACGTTAAAAAACTCCTACGGGAATAGAATTTAAAATTGACTCGAAACTGCTGCTTACAATCGAGTCATTTTTCTTCGGGTGATTGGTCCGGATTTTCCGATTTTTTCCAAACGATTCTGGGAATATTTTTCAATCTAATTTACCCGGTTTTAAAGTAGACGCTTTCAGCTTTAATTTGAGCCGAGCAACGTTAAAAAGCTCCGACGGGGATACAGCCGAACGTTGATTCGAAGTTTCCTTTCAAAATTGAGTTATTTCAGTCGAAGCGAAGCGTGTCGGAACGTTTCGATTTTTCGACATCGATTCGAATTTTCATTGCGATCCGAGTCGTTCCATCGCAAAGCGCAATCTTTCGGTGCTACTTCAAAGCCTCGGAAATGCGATTATCGCTTCAGAGGTTTTCCGCGATCTTCTTCCGTTTTCCTCGTTCGCGCTTAACGCTCGTCGCGATCGAGAAAACGCGCGGAAGCGCGTACCGTTCTTCCGTTTCGTTCATCGTCTCTGTTTCAACAGGTGCAAAAATCCATTTCGAAAGATCGGCCCGCACCTCGGCGTCGCCTCTCTCTCTCCCAAACGAACGAAAAGTTCGGCTCCTGTCAAACCGGCTCGCAACTTCGGACGACTAATTAACAATCTCCGCCAAACTGTCCTTGAATTCGCGAAATGCCAAAATCTAATTAGCGAAAGCATCTTTCTCGCTAACGAATCCTAATTAGCTACGAGTCCTAGCGAATCCGTATCCGGTTCCTAGTGTCGCATTAAATTCCATTAACCCTGGCAACGAGTTCCGTCACGCGAGCCTCGAACGACGTTCGCGGAACGAAGCAGCGCCGGTTGTTGCCGGCGGCCCGCTTCCCTCTTTCCCCGGCATTTTATAATTAAAAGCGAGAGAACTTGCCCGCGACTGTTGTTTTCTCGAGAGCGTATCGGAGATGCGGCGCGGTCGGGACGCGGCCTCCGAGCTCGATATCTCGAGGATATCGACCCTGGGACACGGTGGCCGAGGTATCTCGAATTCGTCTGGCCGCCACTCGGACCGTAGACAATCGATAACCGAAGCCGGCGTTAATCTTGCCCGATAATTAGGTGCCACTGGCTGTTCCTCGGATATTGACTTGCAGACGCCTCGATAGTTTACACGCATTCACGGACGGTTTCGCAACGTTGTCGCCGCTCCGCTCCGTTCCTCGCCGCGCCTCGCCTCGCCGCTTCTCGTCGGCCGCCGAATCGATTCCCGACCATTTAGCCGGTCTTCCTGTCTCCCGGTCAACCTCCCTTTTGTCCTTGCCACTCGAATCGTCTTAGAGCGCTCCTGCGAAATACAGGGTGTCCCAAGAATGTCTCGCAATCCGAAAGTAGGGGATACCCGAGGCGATTTGAAGCAACTTTTTCCTTGGCGAAAATGCGATCCGCGGCTTCGTTTACGAGTTATCAACGAAAAACAGTGACCAATCAGAGCCGAGCCAATGAGCGGAACTGGGCTCCGCGCTCTCGTTGGCTGAGCCGCCGCGCGGCAGCCGAGCTCGCCTCTTATTGGTCAGTGTTTTTCGTTGATAACTCGTAAAAGAAGCCTCGGAGAAAGTTTTCGCAAAGGAAAAAGTTGCTTCGAACGACCTCAGGAATCTCCCATTTCCGGATTGCGAGACATTTTCGGGACACCCTGTTCTGTTTCCGCCGCTCGAACCGATTTTCCGCCGTTCGAGCCCGCAGCTCGACCGAATTCTTCCGGCAATTCGACCAACGACGGCGGCACATATTTCGTTTCCAGCGGTGCTCCTCGAAAACAGGATCCATTTGGCACCGTCGGTTCTGTCTCGCTTCGGAAACAACGATAACCGGAGCAACGTGCACCGCGCGATAGCGAGTCCCGACAAAATGGCGTTGCCTCTTTTCGAACGAGCCCGAGGCAACGGAAGAGGGTAATAGCTCTTTGCTCGGGACTTTTAATGCAATCGCGATTCGCCGGAGAAGTTCATCTTGGAACGCTCGAGCAAGGAAAATTGATTCGGACTGGTCTGCGTTATTTTGGACGCGATGATCGTGCGCTACGACGGGAAAATGATCTTGGAAGAAGCAAAGAAACGACGAATTTATTCTTCGAAAAGATTGAAAGTAATTTATACGCGCTACTGTATTAATTAATGGCAGCTTGCATCGTTGCAATTATGATCAGCTGATTATCAGACCGCGGATCTTTATGCGAAATAATAAAAATTGTCTGCGCGTCGATTGCAGAATTTAAACGCTATTCTCTCTCTTTCTCTCTCTTGTTGATAATTTGAACAAGTTAGAATCGAGATACGTTGACATTCTCAGTTTCTTTTAATCTTCGCGTCGTTTTAAATCGTTATTTATACTTATTTGTCATCATAAACGCGCATAAAATTCGCGGTTTAGCGATTATCGATCAGCTGATTATCAGACCGCGGATCTTTATGCGAAATAAAAATTGTCTGCGCGTCGATTGCAGAATCCAAACGCTATTTTCTCTCTCTTTAATCTTCGCGTCGCTTTTAAATCGTTCTTTATACTTCTTTCTCATCGTAAACGCGGATAAAATCCGCGGCCTATTATCGATCATTGCCCGCTCCGTCGAGAAAACAAGGCTCGTCGAACAAAGAAACTCGTTTTCGCGAAAGAAGCTCGCGCTCCGGCGTTTCCCCCCCGTAGAAAACACTTTCGACGGTAATTCGAAAGTATTTCCTCCGACGTGTATGCCCTCCACACGTACACACACGCGCGCGCGCGCGTACAAGCGGAGAACACATCGCGAAAACGCAAAGTTCTCGCGAGTTGCGTCGCGTGCCGGCGTACCGTGACTGATTTATACGCTGCAACAACCGTTTCACCGGGTGTCATCCGTGGGTTTTAGCCACTTTTAGCCGACGCCGGCGAACGGACCGACGAACCAACGAACGAACCAACGAACGAACGAACGATCTTGTTGGTTTAGCCATCGTTGTCGCCGGGTCGACAATATCGCGGCCCGTTTCCCCGGGAACGCGTCGATCGTTTTCCCGGTCCTCCCGGTTCTCCGTTCCGCGCGGCCTCCAATTATTCCGCAGCCGTAATGCTCGCTGGTAAACTCGCCGCGGAACTGCGAAAACCCGAACGCTATAATAATCTTCGTTACACGGCTTAGCGCTGATGAAACAACCTGTACACCGACTAAATCGTCCCGCCGCCGCTACCGTCGAAACGATCGCTATTAGCGGATTTTTATGCGCGTAGAACGCCCGCGATTTTACGTCGCGAAGTGCGAAGTCGTCGGTGCTTTGACAGATTATCTCGTTAGGGTTTTTAATCGTTTAAGGGGTTTTTGGTTATTTTTGGTTCGGGGAAGACGCTACGATTTTTCTCAATATTGTGGCAGTTTGTTGGATTTTATTCGATTCGGTTGGATAGTGTTGGATTTTATTGAATATTGTTGCGTTTTGTTGGATTATTTTGAATTCTGTTGAATTTTATTAAATTCTTTTGGATTCTGTTGGACACTGTTGGATTTTATTGAATATTGCTGCGTTTTATTGGATTTTATTCGATTCTGTTGGACACTGTTGGATTTTATTGAATATTGTTGCGTTTTGTTGGATTACATTGAATTTTGTTGGATTTTATTGGATTCTGTTGGACACTGTTGGATTGTATTGAATTCTGTTGGATTTTATTGGATTCTGCTGGACACTGTTGGATTTTATCGAATATTGTTGCCTTTTGTTGGATTTTATTGGATTCTGCTGGACACTGTTGGATTTTATCGAATATTGTTGCCTTTTGTTCGATTATATCGAATTCTGTTGGACACTGTTAAATTTCATTGAATATTATTACGTTCTGTTGTACTTCATTGGATTATCTTGGATTTTATTAGATTCTGTCGGATTCTCTTGTACACTGTTGCACTCTATTGGATTCTCTTCGGTAGATTCTCTTTGGTTTCGGCTGCAAAAATAAATTCTGCACCCGCACAAATCATCAAACTATAACTAAAAACGTCCTAGCACTCCAACTACCGCAATCTATTCATCTCCCACAAACATCGATTAAATTACCCACCCACCTAACAACAACCTTCCTTCTCAAATACTTTATTGTTCCACTTCGTACATCCCGGTATATTCTTCGCCCACGACGTAACAAACATCGCTCATTCTACAGCTGAAAACGAACGCCTTCGTCGCTTCGTCTCGCCTTGATCTTCCGAGTTTGCCGGCAAATCGGAAATTCGGTTCGATCCGAGGGATATCTCGAGTCTCGCAGCTGGTCGATCAGAATTCATTCTGGGTGCATGCTGGGTGCTCGTTCGTTCGGCCGAGGGGTTAATCCGTTCGCCGAAGGTGGGCGTAGGAATTGTTGGACGGACGCGACACCGGGATGAAAAGAGAACAAGAGACGGAGACGAGAGTCCTTGGACGGGCTAAGTGGAACGCGAGGATCGAAGGATGATGCAGGCACGACTCGTCGCGCGACGAGACGAGACTAGACGAGACGAGACGAGACGAGACGCGAGGAAACCGAGAAAAAGAGGCGCGCAGCAGAGGCCAGGTGTGCGCGCCGCGCTCTCCGGTCGCATGCCGGCAGAATCGCATAACTGCATTAATCCGTCCGTTCCCAGCGGGCTTCGGATTTGCGTCGACGTCATCGTCGGTGCTCCGGTTACGTCCAGCCAAGCAGCCAGCGTGACAACGTGACCTTAAAGTCGGTTTCTCGTGCCTCGACGAAAGTGGGTCCCCGCCGCGCCGCGGAATCGGCCGATTTTACCGGCCACGCCGCGCGGTCGTCGCGAAGCGACTTCTTCCCCGCGATCCGTTTCCCCAAACAGTTCTGAATCTCGTCCGTTACTTTTTATTCCCGGCCTGTTCTCGACGCCGAGACGATGCCCTCCTTTCGAGCGTGTCGCGACGATTTTAACGACGTTCGACCTCCCGCTTGTAAAAAATTGCCTCGCTCGCATTCTCTATTTCCGCGCGTCGAATCAGATCGAATCGATCGGTCCGATGCCGAAAATATTTGCCGCTGAATTTTTTATGTCCGATCGTCCCGCTGGAACAGAATCGTCTCCTTCTCGTCGCCTCGATTCCGTCCGAGTGTCCGACTTACGAGAGATCGTTTTATTCCGTCCGCGTCGAACGCTGCTCGTAATCCGCCGCAGATGTTCCCACGTGGATGATAGCTGGTTCGGTAGTCCGGCTCTCGGCCGGGAGCAGGAATTCGTCAATTGGACAGCTCGGCCGATTAGACCGACCGTCTCTAGTAATTGGAGATCTGGTTTCGAGCGCGCCCGTTCAGCAATTAGATCCTTTTTCTTCTTGCGACGTATCTGCTCGTGTCGCGTCGCGTCGCTTATCGTCCGCGGTTCAGCCTTCCTCTGCCACGAATATTCGATCTGGTTCGATCGACGAATTATTAGGGAAGAGAAATTAAAAGCTAGTGTTAATACGGAATCAGCGAATCGGTGGTTTAGGCGAACAGTTTGTGCGAGCTCGTTTTGGATTTTGTGACGTCCGATGCAAATACAGCATGAGCTCATTCCTGAGGCCATTTCAAGCAACTTTTTCCTTAGCGAAAATGCGATCCGCGGCTTCGTTTACGAGTTATTAACGAAAAACACTAACCAATCAGTGGCGAGATCGTTTGGCGTGAGTCGGCCGAGCCAATGGGCGGAACCGGGCTCCGCGCGCTCGTTGGCTGGGCCGCCGCGCGCCAGCCGAGCTCGCCTCTTATTGGTCAGTGTTTTTCGTTGATAACTCGTAAACGAAGCCTCGGAGAACCTCCCAACCTCCCCAAACGAAGCCTCGGACCTCAGGAACCTCCCATTTCCGGATTGCGAGACATTTTCGGGACACTCTGCATAGTAAATTCTCTCTAATTTACTATGTCCAGACTGTACAGAAAAATGGACAATTTGGGAAGAAGAAAGATTATTCCAGCCTTGCGCTTTGTTTTTGTAATTATTAACAATCGGCAACTATAAAGCCGCGAAGCTCGAACAATCGCGTCTCCTCTTCCCAAATTATCAATCGAGGAGAATTTGTCGCTATCGTCGTCGACGATTCGACGTGTCCTATAAAAAGGTTCCGTCCCGCTAAATCTCGACGAGCAGAACGAGGTTCCAAAGGTCAGCGTTGACCGGGCGAATCGAGCACAAGAGCACCGATCGGTCGAGCCGTGGAGAAATTTCTGCGAAAATCGTAGGTCGGCGATGAATCTCCCTCGTGAAAATCGGATGTAACGCGATCGAGAATGTAAACCTACGATCTCGTAATTCCCGAATAACCCGCGATCAATTTATCTTCGATCCTCGAACGAGGCTCGCTCGCTCGCTCCGCGGATTTTCTGCCAATTATTTGATGAACTCGTTAAACTCTGCCTCTGTCCAGGCATCGTTGTACAAGAATAAATGTTTAATGTACTCGTTAGCATCGTCGCGCGTAGCGAACGAACGAAAAAGAAAAATCGCTGGAAACGTGCGTGCATACGTATGCTCGTCCGACGGTGAACATCAATTTCCGCGGCTGACAATGGCGCGCGGCAAAAGCCGTGGACGGATCGTCTGCCGGCAAAAATGTTGCCGTCCGGCCGGCAGATTATTATGGCTCGTTAAAGTGGAATGGGATAATTAAAAGTGGTGCAAGATGCGGGCACGACGGTACGCAACAATGTTACGGCAATTATTTGTAATCGCCCAGATATCGTTGATCGTTCCCGAAGCAGTCCGTTGTTTTTCGGTTTTTGCCCGCTCCGCGTATGCGTCGCCTAATTTCGACTGCTTTTGGAAATGCTTTCTTGCCGATGGAAAAAATGAAGCGACGCGCTTAGCTTACATTTATTGCCGAACCGCGGATTTTATGCGTTTGTGACAGGATTGGGTAAGTGAAAGTTTAAAAAATGGAAATATTAAAAGAATTTTGGGTCATCTGTGTGTTATTTTTAACTCGATGAAATTATTCAAGAGAGAAAGAAATTTCTGTTCGACTCGAAACGTTGTTGCAAGCGATGAGGATAAGTTTTATTTTGCTTAAAAATCCGCGGTCTATTTATTACAGTGAAGCAAGTAGAGGATGACGCGGAAGTCCTATTGTCCTAATCACCGCGATATAGCGATTGTCACTGCCCTCTCTCCCCTCTCTTTGATCATCCGCTTCTTAAATCATTAGAATTTTATTTTCGACTCCGACTTCGATCTTCGATTCGAATTCGTCGGAGAAAAATTGCTATAAATTAATTGACACGCCCGGTAAGAATATACATACCGTGTTGTATCGAATGTAGCATAATTCTTAACAGCAGAATTATAATTATTAATTATAGTCGAAAGGCTTCCGTTCCTTCGGAAAGACACGAAACTGGTTTCAACTCGCGAGTTATTCGCGGCGCGGCTCGCGACCCGAGGCGATTTCCCGGATTGCCGCGCGAATTTCTCCAGGATTTCGAAACCGGCTGCGGACAATGGCTGCGAAGAGGGCCCCGATAAAAGTGGAGCGAACGAAACCGCCGCGCTCGAGTTTCCAGCGCGATAAAACGCGTCTACTTTCCTTTGTTCGCGTGCCGTTCGCGGATCCACCGCGATTTACTTACGAGTCCGCCTCGCCTCGCCTCGCCTCGCCTCGTCGTGACTCGGGTGTCGCCCTAGCCGGCCGGTTTCACCCCTTGGCAAGCCCTTTGAACGCGTCGCGGATCGTCGCGCCCGCCCAAAAGTCGCCTAAGCCATAAATTTCACTTTCAAACGAATGCGTTCTCCTCTCGCTCCTCTAATCGCGCCGCGAGAATCGAACGGTCCTTCGGAATTTATCGCCGCGCGAACGGAAAACGTAATCGTCCGAAACTGTCTCTACGGTATAACGGAACCTTCGTGTCGCGGAAAACAATTTTCCCGGTTTCCTTTTACCGTGGAAAAATTATGTTCGAGCTGCTCTCGAAATCGAATCGCTGAAAATGTGTCCAATTGTCGTACACCTTCCGGAGCGAGACTCCTGGCTGCGAAAAAAGTTATGAAAAGTACGAATTGGAAACTCGAGCTCTTATCATCCGCGATGGTTAACGGTTTGCGGAGCGGTGTCAACAAATTTCGGCGCAGTCGATTCGTCGGGACACTTTTGTTCCACGGTCGAAGCGAAAGCGTCCGAGCGAGTTTCCAGCTCGAATTTCGCTCGAAATAACGTAATAATTTCGCGGTAGCTTCGGATAGGAAAATTTCAGTTTGAAAAGAGGATAGAACGTCTGGCGATGCAACATAGAGTGAGACATAGATCTCTCGGAGTAATAAAATCGGAGACGAGACGCGATTTCTTTTTTCGGAGCAGCTTTTAACCGCGTCTCGGAGCGGTTTTCGTGGAATGCCCGGTCCGGCAGGGTTTAACCCTTTCGGTACGAACGCCGGATATATCAGGCATCCATCTGGTCGCTTGTGTGATCGAGCGTCGGATATTCAGGGTGTTCCAAAATTATGGTATATCCGGGAAACGAGGGGTTCCCGAGATCATTTGAAGCAACTTTTTCCTTAGCGAAAATATTCTACGAGGCTTTGTTCACAAGTTATCGACGACAAACAGTAACCAATGAGAGGCGAGCTCGGCTGGCGCGAGGCAGCCGAGCCAACGAGCGCGCGAAGCCCGGATCGCCACGCGCCAGCCGAGCTCGTCTTTGATTGGTCAGAGTTTTTCGTGAATAACTCGCGAACGAAGCATCGTAGAACATTTTCGCTGAGGAAAAAGTTGCTGCAAATGACTCCAGGAACCCCATCGTTTCCCGGAAATACCATAATTTTGGGACACTTACGATGACCGGCATGGACAAAGTGCCGAATACATCTGGCATTCGTGCGAGCCATATTTCTGACGTATTAGAAATTATTCTAATAAAGTCTTTTCTTACAAGGATTCCGAAGAAATAATAATAATAATAATAATAATAAAGCTACAGGTATAATCGTAGTTCGATCTGAATTGATTTACAAAATGTCAGGTTACATTTTTGTTCGAAACTTGTTCATAGATTTTAACATATTGCAGGCCCTTTACAGAATGTTTACAAGAAACAAAAGATATAGGAAACGGATTAAAACACGTTGAGCGCCGCGTCGGTCAAATATGGGTGACACTAATTTTTGACCAATTAAGAAAATTCATTTTCATTGCAATACGTTCGAAGAAACTGAATTTGATTAGGATGGTTTCGTATGCGAAAGAGTTCTAATGTCATCCGCTATGATAAGTTTGATCTTTCTAGTTTCGGTTTAGTGAATTAAATTGCTCTGATTTTGTGGGAATTTTAGTGGCCGATTGTCGACGCTGAACGTGTTAAGCACAGTTATTGCTTAAGAAAATCTTCGTACAAAAGTGGACCGACCCTCCACCGTGCTATGTTCGCATTTTCGGCGCGGCACCCCGTACAGTGGGAGTGTCACGGCTGACAGCGTGCTCGTACCGAAAGGGTTAAAGTCGGTTTTTCGCAGCCGGGGAATTGTTCGAGGCT